TTACAAAAACAAAACAACATTCATACAAATAGCAATGAATGACAGACAATATAAGTTTTGTGTGAGAAAGAGCGAGAGAGGAAGAGCGATAGAGAAAACTATTAAATAATAAAAATTTTGTTTCAGCATATCAGTCTGAACTTAAGCTATCAGATTCATAAAGTTTTTGCTAGTCACCCATCAGCAGCATCATCATTGTTGCAAGTTATGGTGAAAGCGAGAGGTGAGAGGGGTTCGAATAAAATGTAAACTTTTGTGCAATTGAGTTGCAGAAAACAAAACAATACAAAGTTTCAGATAAAAAATAATTTAAGGAGGTATATGGAGGGCGGTAGGCGACATGGTATACGCACTACTCTGGAAGAGACACTTTTCTTTGGGGGTTGACGAAAAATTGTTCCTTTGGAAAGATTTTTTTAAATTATGGAAATTTTTTCCCTTTCGAAAGGATCATGAGGTAATTTCAATAAAATGTAGTTGATATAATAAAGATATATAGCTTGGTATACAAAATATGACCCCGGAATTGAAAACGGAAAAATTTAGAAATTTGTTGAAAATTTTCGGTTATTGTACAATTTTTACGATACCTCTGGAAAATAGAGAGTAATATAAAAAAACATTTGTGTGCATTTAAAGGTAAGAACTTAGTCTTTCAAAATTAGATAGGATTGTCTCAGCAAAACAAGCCAGAAATGCCAATATTGGCTCAGGAATGAAGTGTTCATGTTTTACTTCATAAAGGACGAAAATACAAAATTTCTTATTTTTAAAAATTTTCTGGAGATCTATTGATATAGTAATATAATATTATTAAAAATAGTGTTAGGAGAGTTATTCGGCATTACAATAAAATTTAAATCATAGAAATATTCCCACAGGTTTAGAAGTTATGGCCTCTCGAATATGGTAACGCAAAAATTGAAGAATTTCAGGAAAATTGGGTAACTTATTATTTTGATCTATATCTATGGTATTTAATAGGTTATGGGGATAAATGTGATTCGCATTTAAAGAACAGAAATTCCTCTTTCAAAATCCTGCTCATTTTTGTCAAACAAATGTATTGCAAGAAAAAATCTGAACTCTGTAGTGAAATGTCATGTTCGCTCAGACAAAGGTTGGCATCCAAGAAGGCCAATATTTCTATTCCTTTTAGGAAATTTTTCATGAGAACTGCTATACAAATAAGATTGAATCTGAACAAAAGGTCAATAGTATTCAGATAGTATGAAAATTATAAAAATATTCCATTAGATTTAGAAGTTATGGTCCCTCGAACATGGTGACGCAAAAGTTGAAGAATTTCTTGAAAATTGAGTAATCTTTAAATTTGCGCCACATCTCGGTTATTTGATGGAATATGTGAATGAAAATGGTATGAATTTAAAGGCAAGACGTTCCTCTTTTAAAATCCTGCTCACTTTTACCAACTAATTTTTTTGTAAGAAAAAAATTTACCTCAACAATGAAATGTCAATGTATACCCAGACAAAAATTGGCAACCTAGAAATTTAATATTTCTAAATTTTTGGGTTTTTTTTTTAAAGAGAACTTGCATAAATTCAAGATCACAGTAGACCACAAGGTCCCTAAAATTCAGATAAAGTTTGAATCAAAAAAATATTCCCTCAGGTTAAGATCTTATGGTCCCTCGAATATGATGACCCAAAATGTTGGGAATTTGTAGAAATATTGAGAAACTTTTTAATATGCACTAAAACTCTTGTATTTACTTGGTTATGTGGATAAAGGTTTCTTGTATTTAAAGACCAGATGTTCATCTGTCAAAATTATGCTTATTTTATCAAACAAATTTATTGCAAGAAAAACCAGAACTCTACAATGAAATGTCAATGTCTGCTCAGGCAAAGGTTGAGAACCAAGGAGGCCAGTATTTCTATCTTTTAAAGAAATTTTTCATGAGAACTGTTAAGACGCCATTTGAGGTCACGGTCAATAGTATTCAGATTGTAATAAAAACATTAAAATATAACATCAGGTTTAGAAGTTATGGTCGATAGAATATGATCACGCAAAATACTAGGAAATTGTGGAAAAATAGAGTAATATAGTAATTTGCGGCATATCTCTGTAATTTGATGGGCTATGGGAATAAAAGTTATTTGCATTTAAAGGTAAGATGTTCTTCTTTAAAAATCTTGCTCATTTTTACATCTAAGTTTATTTCAAGAAAACAATTTGAGCTCTATCATGAAATATCTATTTTTACCCAGGCATAGGCTAACAACGTAGAGACTTATAATCTCTTATTTTTTGAGAAAATTTTCAATATAAATGGTATATACTTGAGATCGCATTAGAGCACAAGGTCCATGGCATTCTCATAAGTTTGAAATCATAAAAATATTCCCTTAAGTTGTGGAGTTATGGGCTCCAGAATTTGATGACGCAAAAAAATAAGAATTTCTTAAAAACCGAGTAACTTATTTATTTTTACCCTATCTCGGGTATTTAATGACCTATACGGATAAAAGTTGTATGCATACAAAAAAGAGATGTTCCTCCTTCAATGGCATGTAAATTTAACCTCAAGAACATGATTAGAAAAAATATTTTGTTCCTCAAGTAAAAGACTTTAGACTGCTTTTGTGAAAGATTAAATTATCAAATTTTCCTTTTCCGGTTTTAGTGTAAAATGTTAAAAAATAATCCTTATTTATTTCTAAATATTCTTAAACTAGAGGTCAATTTCGTTCAAATTTGATTCGAATCATTAGAATATTCCTTTGGGTTCGAAAGTTATGACACCCGAAATTATGTGATGCAAAAATTTAACAACTTCGAAAAAATGTGTATTTTCTTAATTTTTGCCATAACTCGCGTGTTTGATGAAAAAGGGTTTTCCAAAACCATCTAAATATTGCTAAAGGTTATTAAAACAGGGAAATAAATCTAAAAACAAAGAGCCATGGAAATATCCTGTTTAGTTCACAGGTTATGACCATTTGAAAGTCTTGCGCCAGAAATTTAATATATTGAAAATTTTAAGCATGTTCAGACTCTTTATCATATATTGGGCATTTGTAGAGATATATTGATAAAATGTGTACCCATTTAAAGTCCAGAAGGTCCTAAGCTCGAATTATGTCAAAAAATATCGACTTAACTATTTTCATTCTATGAAATTTACTTTACATTAAATTCACTTAATTTTTCCACGCAAGAGTTACACATGTTGAACCAAAACGTTTCTAATTTATAGAGGTTTTTTCAGAGGAATCCTTATAAATTTCAGATTGGTTTAAAGCTCTCTGCTAAAACCTATAAAGATTAATTTAGTTTGTGTGAATATCTCACTTGATTCCCAAGTTATGGCCCAACGAAAATGCTTGCCCGGAAAAAGACAAAATTTTGTAAAATTTTGTAACTTCTTCATTTTGGTCATATCTCAGGTATTTGAAGGGTTATGTTGATTAAATTTGCATCCCATTTGGGCATAAGAAGAGTCACTTTATTAATCTATTTTAATTTTGTAGCTAGAAATGTTAGCAGACATTAATTTGACCTTCAAATCAAAATGCTGAAAACTTTCTATGAGAGTTTGTTACTCTCGGAACCCCAGTTTTCTTGATTTTATGGATAATTTTCCCAAGAGTTATCTTTATTTTTTCATTGATTATTCAATACCGGGCATGTATCTTCAAAATAAATGTGGAACTAAAAGATATCGCTCTTGGTTCAAAATTTATGGCCCATCGAAAGGGCTTGCGCAAAAAATCCTTATTTTGGCAAATATTTTGTGCATGCACAAATTTGTCCATAACTTTGGGATTTGATGGGTTATACCAATGATTTGCATATCACTGGAAAGGTTAGACACTATTCTTTCCAATTTAAGTCATTTTTATTGGAAAGTGAGGCTTGGTTACCCTTTTTTTGGCCTTAGATGCCTATATACGTTTACGTGGAAGTCGTTGCGTATACATTGTGACAATACTCATACGCGCTCGTGTTTCATGCTGTTATCAAGCAAATATTTATCATTTCTAGTTGTATAGGGTACACAAACAACACATGAACTCTATTCACACACACTTTAACACGTTCATATACACAAACAATGGCATAGTGTGTATGTGACAAATACTTAAAATAACATTGAAGGAAATGACTTTTTTTTCCTCTTCAAGATTCCTTTGAGAAAATGCGATATAGTGTGTGTGTGTGTTGTGTGTGTTAAAGAGGAACTATAAGCATGTCATTGTTATGTGGCGTTGCTATTTACATTGGTATTGGTGTGATATCTTTGGTTTTGGTTTATAACTTTGTCGTTGTGTTTGTATTGTTCATAGAGTGCACAAAGTGAAAGAAAAAAAATCTTCTATGATTTCTTTGTGTGCGGAAGAGTGCGGGCGTGTAAGTACCATTAAACTACTGAACTGAGCAACAGCTTCAATTTCTGGGGATTTTTTCCCTCAAAAAAAAAAAAAAAAAAAAAAAAAAAAAATTGAAATAAATAAATCAAAGAAGTCACGTTCACATTTAATACAGATATATACAAATAATAATATGGGATTTCAGCTTTGCGATTTACACGTATTCCGTATTGAGGGACAAAATTTTGAGAGGGAGGGGAATGGCAGAGAGATAGCAAATAAATAATCACAGAACGGTGCATTGAACTTCAAGGTTGGGTAACAAAATAGAGGAAAATGTAGTCATGCAGTAAACTACGATTTGGCATGCCAAGGACTAAACATCTATAAAAATAATTTTTAAATGTTGAAATCGAAAACAGAAATTTTAAGAAACCAATTTTCAAATAAAAATACTTTTCATTTTCAAAAAATAATTTTAAGAAAAATTTGTTGCATTAAAAAATAATTGGGCCAACATTTTTGATTTGCTTCTATGTAGCGGGATTTTCGTAGCACATAGCATCTAACACATCTTGATTCTAGGCACAGACATATATCTATATTTTTTCACATATATATTTTTGGGAAAAACAATTATATTTTCAATTCAAAACTTACAGTATTGGAAACCAATTCCGATTGCAGGCCATCGAGGTGAGTAAGACTTTTGGATTTTAACTGGAAAATAAGATGAAGGGGAAAAACACATATTATAACGACTGAAACTTCGATTCGAATTAGAAAAATATTTATAAAAATAAAATTTAAAAAACATATAAAAACAAAAATTAATAAATAAAAAATAAAAATAAATAAATAAAAATAAATAAAAAAATATTTTTGTTCTTTAAAAAATTTTGTAAAACTTTAACCATACAAAAGGCGTGGATTTTTTTAAAAAATATTTTTTAATAACTCAACAGTCGGTGATTTAAATAAAAATATTTTTTCAATAACTCAACAGCCGTGGAATTTTTAAAAATTATTTTTTCAACAACTCCACAGTTGTGGATTTTTAAAAAAATATTTTTTTCAAACACTCAACAGTCGTGAATTTTTAAAATAATATTTTTCCAATAACTCCACAGTTGTGGATTTAAAAAAAATATTTTTTCAATAACTCAACATTCGTTGATTTTTTAAAAAGTATTTTTCTAATATATCAACATTCGTGGATTTTTTAAAAATATATATATTTTTTTCAATTTTTAAATATTTTTTTAACAACTCAACAGTCGTGGATTTTTTTGGTGAGTTCCACCTGTCGTAGGTGAAATTTTTTAAAAAATATTTTTTCAATAACCCAATCGTCGTTGATTTTTTAAAAAATATTTTTTCAATAACTCAATTGTCGTGGATTTAAAAAAAAAAATATTTTTTCAATAACTAAATACTCGGGGATAATTAAAAAAATATATTTTCCAAATAACTCAGCAGTCATGGATTTTTTAAAAAATATTTTTTCAATAACCCAGTAGTCATGGATTAAAAAAAAAAATATTTTTTCAATAACCCAGTAGTCATGGATTTAAAAAAAATACTTTTTCAATAACTCAACAGTTGGGGATTTAAAAACAAATAATAATTTTTCAATTATTTTTTAAAAAATATTGTCAACAGTCGTATATTTATTAAAAATATTTTTGCAATAACTCAGCAATCGTGGATTTTTTTTTTTTTTAATATTTTTTCAATAACTCAACAGTGGTGGATTTTTTAAAAAAAAATTTTTGTCGATAACTTAACAGTCGTGGATTTTTTGAAAAAATATTTTTTCAATAACTCAACAGTCTTGGATTTTTTTTAAATATTTTTTTCGAATAACTCAAAAGTCGTGGTTTTTTTAAAAAATATTTTTTAAATAACTCAACTGTCATGGATTTAAAAAAAAAATATTTTTTTCAATAACTCAACAGTCGTGGATTTTTTTTAAATATATTTTTCCAACTGTCGTGGATTTTTCAAAAAAGAAAAAAAATCAATAACGCAACAGTTATCGATTTTTCAGAAATATTTTCTCAATAATTAAACAATCGTGGATTTTTTTTAAAAAGTTTTTAAGTAAATCGTCAAACCTGGATTTTTTAAATTAAAAAAAATGTTCAATAAATTGACATTCTTGGATTTTCTAAAAATATTTTTTCAATGAATTACCATGCGTTGTTTTTTTAAAAAAAATATTTTTTGACGAATGTGTTCCTATAGATAGCCAGCACCGCTGAGGATTTTTCCTACTGACAAAAATGTTGGCCTCAGCAGCAGTGGACTTTCCTCTTGAAAAAAGTCTCCCACTACAGATGGGCAATATTCTTCTGAAAAAAAAAATCTTCAGTAGTTTAGGTATTATTTTCGGTATGGAAAAACAGTCCTCCTTAAGTCCTCCTCTCAATTTTATCCTTTAGACAAAAAGTCTTTCTCGGCAGATTAGGATTTGTTTCTTATAGGAAGACAATTATCAACAACTATTGAATATTTTCCTCTGGGAAAAAGTTTCCTCATCAGCTTTCGATTTTTTTTCTGTGGAGATTAATTGTCCCCAGCTGCTGACAATTTTTTGCTGTAGAATAATTTTTTCAGCACCTTATAATTTTTTTATAGAAAAAACCGCTCCACTGCAGCTAAAAAATGTTTAAAGAAAATAAAATTCCTCAGCAGCTGGATTCCTTCCACTCATTATCTCCCAATTGATGTACAATATTCATTTCTCAAGTTAATATTTATGTTTAATAAGCTTCAACTTAGTCAAAATTCCCCTCCCCAATCATCAGCATCATAGTTCCCATTATTATCATCTTCATCATCACCATAATTCCCATTATTATCCCCTTCATCATCACCATCTCCAACTTTACTAGCATAAATCCTACAGATCATCCTGATAACTATAGTGAAGACATAAAAGGTCATATATCTTCCGCTGACACAGATAGTGCTTCCAGCTTGGCTTTTCTTCTTCCAGCACATGCTATGCACCTCTTCTCTTGCCTTGCCCCATCCGCCTTGCCCTTGCACCAAGTGTAGCAATTAAATAACAATTATGTTAATGTCGTTTTTTGTTATTGTTGTTGCTGGTGTCTGAGTGTGTGTGTGAAAGGATATATCCTGCTCTCCGTTTTCACTGGAACTCGAGTGACTCACATTAGCAAACAATGAAATATGAGATTTGTCAGTTGAAATGAAGGGGCGGGAGGAGAGGGGTTCAAAACGGGGTACGGGTGTTGGAAGTAGTGGCTGTAGTTGCTGTTAAGCAGGTTAAGTGTGTGACAGCATATGTAAATGATATTTATATTAATTTTTTCTCCGTTTGTTTTCTTTTCTGTTGCTGACATTTTCGCAAATGTTCTCCTCCTTTGGCTCACCCTTTTTTGCAAAGTGAGGAGAGCTAACATGATAAACTAAAAATGCCTCCATAGGGCCCAGATGTTATTCCTGGGAATTTCGAGTTAATATTTGTTGGGGGAACATTTTTTTTGGTATTCATAATGAAATCACAATTCTGACTGGTAGTTATGAATGTTGGAATTTTATGTGTAATATTAACTTTTCAATTATGGGTACTTTTAAAGGGGAGCGGGAGGAAGATCTGATTCCAAAAAAAAAAAACACAATTCCTTTACCTCAAATACTAATGCCAAATGAGAAATATTTTTCTTTCTTTTCCATGACAAAAAAAAAACGAAACTAATTAGTATTCTTCCCATGACAAATGAATAAATGGTGCGTATGAGTGTTGGCATTTCAATGGTGGCGTATTAAGACATACATCATACGCCCCCATGCATGGGAATAAATAATAACACTCATACGCCCCCGTATGATTACATCCACAACTAAGACAAATTGAAACCACTCCCAATTGATTCGAATCCCAAGCAACAACGATTCCTTTTCAGTTTCGTTAATCAATTATTTAAGGAAAATAATTGAATTAAATGTTTACCCAGGCGTATCGATGGCAAACACTACACCTCCCTCCTCCCGCTTCCACAGAAACCCAAACAATTCGTGACGAAATGATATGGCAATGGATGCGTGAGACCAAAACTTCAATACCAAACAACGTTATCTGTTGTTGTTGTCGTAGTCGACGAAAACATTTAAATTTTTAACAACTGCATCTGTTTGTCTGCCATTCTGTCTGTCTGTCTGCCAGTCTGTCTATTTGCCCAGGAAACAAACTCACCAAAGCCACAACACTACTTTCTGGCAATGAGAGAGTGTAAGACTCAGACACACACTCACACACTCACACACATGACCATTTCACATAAATATATGTGTGTGTGTCTGTAAATAGACGACGTGACTAACGTGCCAGCTCAGCTGTTTTTGTCCCATGTAGGCCACAACACTGTAGCATGGCCTGCAATTTTCCACATGCCTTCTCTCTTGGTTTCGGGGCTCCAACAATCAAGGAAATCCTTTAAGTCCTTAAAAACGATATTTATTAAATACAAATTTGTTGCCAGAAATGTGGCAGGGACATGGCATGGACTACGAATATGGGTAATAGGGTGGATTCGAAAAAAAGTATTACAAATATACCAAATTTAAAAAAGAAAAAATTAAAAATCCAAGATTTTATGAAAAAAAAAACTCTATTGAAAATATATTCGATTTTCAAGATTTTTAAAAAATATTTTTTTAATAAAAGACCAAACTTGGATTTTCTAAAAAAAATATTTTTTTAATAAACAACCAAACGTGGATATTCTAAAAAATATTTTTTTAATAAAATACCAAACTCTGATTGTCTAAAAAATATTTTTTTAATAAACGGCCAAAGTTAGATTTTTATAAAAAAAAATTTTAATAAAAAATCAAACGTGTATTTTTACAAAAATATTATTTTAATAAAAAGACCAAACGTTGATTTTCTATAAAATATTTTTTTTAATAAACGGCCAAAGTTAGATTTTTATAAAAATATTTTTTGATAAACAACGAAATGTGGATTTTTTAAAAAATATTTTTTCTAATAAACGGTCATAGGTCGATTTTTTTAAATATTTGTTTATAAAATGGCCAAATATGGAATTTTTTAAATATTTTTTTTATAAACAACCAAACGTGGATTTAAAAAAAAAAAAAATATTTTTTGTTAATAAACAGCCAAACGTGGATTTTTAAAAGATTTTTTTTTATTAAAAGACCAAATGTAAATTTTTTAAAAAATAGTTTTTCTTAATGTGGACGACGATTTTTTAGAATTTTTTTTTTATAAACAGCCACAAGTGGATTTTTAAAAAAATATTTTTTCAATAACTCAACAATCGTGGATTTTTTTAAAAATATTTTTTCAATAAATGGACATTCCTGGATTTTTAAAAAAATATTTTTTCAATAACTCAACAGTCGTGAATTTTAAAAAAAAAATATTTTTTTAATAAACAACCAAACCTGCATTTCTTTTAATTTTTTTTTTTTTAAACTCAACAGTCGTGAATATTTCTTAAATATATCTTTTTCAGTAATTCAACAGTCGTAGATGTTTTAAAATATATTTTTTCCAGTAACTCAACAGTCGTGGATGTTTTATTTTTTTTTAATAAATTAATTGTAGCGGATATCTTATAAAAATATATTTTTTTATAATAAATTAATTTTAATTTTTAATTAAAAAATATTTTTTTTTCAATGAACTAAAATACGTTAATTTTTTTAAAAAATATATTTTT